GCTTGTATTTGAGTCTTGTCTCTCAATTATTTCTTAGCCCAGTGCTCAACTACTGAGGTTGCTGATAACATTCTGCTGTTTGTTTAGCTGTTAACAAGTTCATTTTTATTGATGAGTAGTATTCCTCTGTGTAAATGTAATACAATTTATCTCTTTAAAAAAATATATATTTTATTGATTTTGTACAGAGAGGAAGGGAGAGAGATAGAGAGCTAGAAACGTCGATGAAAGAGTCATCAATCAGCTGCCTCTTGCACACCTCCTACTGGGGACATGCCCGCAATCAAGGTACGTGCCCTTGACCGGAATCAAACCCAGGACCTTTCAGTCCCCAAGCTGACGCTCTATCCATTGAGCCAAACCGGTTTTGGCACAATTTATCTCTCTCTCTTTTTTTTTTTTTTTTTTTTTTTTTTTTGCATTTATTTATTTATTTATTTATTTATTTATTTATTTTTTGAAGGAATATTTAATATTAACATTGTGAGTTATTATCTTTTGCATATCCAAGTTACACATTTCAAACAAATCGTCATTTATATTTACAGTATACAGATGCAAAGCATTAATTTCCCACTAAATCATCACTTTCTTAAAATGGTACATGTGATGTTATGAAATTAGCTATTAAGCATTCAAAATAGTGGAAAAGAGGTCCTTTCTTCAGTCTTTTTTTTTTTTTTTAAATATATATATATTTTTTTGATTTTTTTTTGCCCCCCCTCCCTCCCTCCCTCACATCCCCTCCCTCCCCAGAGTTTTATGTTCAATGGTTGTACTTATGTGCATGTATAAAAGTCCTTCGATTGATCTATTATCTCCCCCAGATCTTCCTCCCCTCCCCGCTGTAATTTGACAGTCTGCTTGTTGATATACTATCTTTATATCTATCTTTTGGTTCATCAGTTTATAATGTTCTTTATTATCCACAAATGAGTGAAGTCATGTGGTGTTTTTCTTTCAATGACTGGCTTATTTCACTCAGCATGATGTTCTCCATTTCCATCCAGGTTGCTACAAATGATGAGAATTCCTTCTTTTTTATGGCAGCATAGTATTCCATTGTGTAGATGTACCAAAGTTTTTTGATCCAATCATCTGCTGATGGGCACCTAGGCTGTTTCCAAATTCTAGCTATTGTAGATTGAGGCACAATTTATCTCTTGATGGACATTTGGTTGCTTCCAGAGCTCACCTACTATGTATAAGTCTGCTATGAATGTTTATATGCAATGTTTTTTGAGCATATGCTTTCATTTATCATGAGTAAATTCTTAGAAGTGAAATTACTGAGTCAAATGGAAAAATCTATGTACATCTTTATAAAACCTGCCAATTTCTATTGATTAGTCCATCATATATATATATTTTTTTTACTATATTCCTCTGTATATAATGTATTTTCTTTCTTTGGCTGCTTTTAAGATTTTCTTACTATTTTTTGAAGCAACTTGATTACTAGTATGATATACCTTGCTTGTGTGTTTGTTGATATTCATCCTGTTTTGAGTGTATTAAATTTACTTAATATGTATGTTTATAGTTTTCAACTAATTTGAAAAAATTTTAGTCTTTCTCTTCACCCCCCCCCCAAAAAAAAAAAAATATTTTCATGGCCCTTTAGGGGCACTCTATCTTCTATATATAAACCCAGCCAGTGGCCTGAAGTATGGATGCTGTCTATAGTACTTGAAAAAAGTTCTCTGTTGAATGTCTTTGACTGTAGTCTGGCTTCTAGTTCCTGGTTTACTCTGGCCTGCCTGCTCTCAGAGAAGCACATTACCCCAGGTTAGTGTTATGTACTTGCACCACCAAAGAGGAAGCTATAAGTCCCCGTTGAGCCATTGGTTTGTTGCTGTGGTGTCATCTTGTAGACTTGCTGCTTTCATCATCACTGGAGTTGGTGTACAACTTACCGTTCTCTGTCTCTTGCATAAATTCCTTTTTTTTTTTAAAGTGTAGTCTAGCTATGATTTCTATACTAGATGTGTTATTTACTGTTCATCTCTATTTTTTAATTTATCTGCAAGCTAGTGTTTGTTTTATCAGTGGCATTTTATCTAATAAAATCTCCTTTTCTCAGAGGACTATAATGTAGTGGTTAACAACAGTATGGTTTTGAGTGCCATGTTACTTATATCAGAATTCCAAGTCTAGCATTCTCTGAGGGAGCTTTTCAAAAAGACTTGTATATGTTATTTGCAGTTTGTGAAGATTAAGCAATTTGTGTCCAGTGCTTAGAACAGTGCCTGGCATACCAAAACATATGAACTATTATTGCTTTTTTAGAGGTATATTTTTCATAATGCTCCAAGGTGTATGGTTAGGTTACTTGTATTATTATTATTATTTATTATTATTATTATTATTATTATTATTATTATTTTTACCAAGAGTTATCAGGGTAGGAGTGGGGAGGGGGAGAAGGAGGGGACCAAGAGTACAGATCCAACAAAGGATCTGGATAATGAATCAGATACAACCTATCAGATTACCTTGTTAAGAATTAGTCTACAAAGCATACTGGCCAGCCACTTTTTTCTTCAGCCTCTTCCAGTTGTAATGACCAATGTCAACCTCTTATAAACTCAATTTTGCTTAGTTTCTGAGTTGGCCTGATTATGTTACATTGGTTATTAATTTATTGGTTGCTTTTGCAACTCTATAAATAATATTATTTGTTCACTTATTTTATATTTGTTCACTTATTTTTGTTATTTTTTTTTAGCACATGACATATGTGTACTTATTGATTCATAGAGTATACATGTGTACTAATGTATATAATACTAACATTATACATCTTATGTAAGACATATTACCAGTAAAAGATACAATATAATGATACATGAAAATATTTTCTTCCTGTGCCCCAGAAAGGTTGTCTTGTACCTCTCATGTTGGACCCCACTGCTTTCAATCCTGGTCCTAGGACAAACACCTGCTCTTCACAAGAGAGACTGTGGTGTCAAAAAGGAATAAAACGCTCTTGGCCCATGCTTTAGGTAAGTGACATCTTGCTGAGCTGTCCCCCACTTGTATTTAAGTTAGAAGTGTGGATTGTGTGTTATCTAATAATACTTCACTTGACGTCTCCTCCTTGAGTAATCAGAAGAATCACGTGGAAATGGAGTCTGTAAGGGAATAACTCATATTTTATTTTCTGTGTCCTCCTCTAAGGGACACTAGGGTGCACTAGGACACTGAGGACACCCTGGGTGTGGAGGACACCTGTTGAATTCAAGCATGAATGAATAAATGATTGAACAATTAAATGAATATGTGAAAAACATTTTTAAGCCACATACAAAGCACAATAAAGGTGTGATTCTCATTTGTATGTAAAACATCTCCATTACTAGAGTTGTTCATTTATTTATTTTTATTATATCTCTATTATGGTGTCTATTTTCATGAAATATATTTCCATCCCTTGAAGCAGAACTGGGTCTCTTAGGCAACACATAGTTTGGTCTTTTTTTTTTTTTTAATTCCTTTAACCTTTCTAATTTTTTAAATGGAGAATTTAATCCATTTTATTTAAAGTAGTTATCGATAGGTATGAATCTGCTATTGTCATATTTATTGTTTTCTGATTGTTTTATAATTTTTTTTCTCTTGCACTCTTTACTCATGTTCTTATGATTTTCTGTAGTGGTATGCTTTGATTTCTTCCAGAGAGAATTGTTCCATGTGTAGCTGTAGATTTGATGTGTCTGTGGGAGGTGAGTTCAGGAGCTTCCCATCTCACTAATTTGAACCAGAACATGATATTATTTTCATTCTTCACTGTGACATTAGTGTATTTTAGTCTACTTTTAAAAATATAAATTTTTATTGATTTCAGGGAGGAATAGAAAGAGAGGGAAGCATCAATAATGAGAGAGAATCATTGATTGGATTCCTCCTGCTTGCCCCATGCTCGGGATCGAACCTGCAACCCTGGCATATGCCCTGACTCGGAATTGAACCGTGACCTCCTGGATAATAGGTTGATGCTCAACCACTGAGCCACGCTGGCCGGGCTATTTAAGTCAGGGACCCTGATGGTGACTTTATCACAGGATGTCACACTTTCATTTCCTTTGCAGTAACAATACCATTTTCTCTCATCTATGAAAATTTTGGAATTTAATAATAGATCCACCACCTCTTTCTCAACACCAAAACAAAGGTTTTTTTGTCTTTACATACAACCTAAATGCACTGTGTTCATTAAAAGCTTTTAATCATTGGTCACATTGTCTTACCATTTTGCACACAACGTACTAACTACAGAGGACTTTCTCTGGCAGAGCTTACCTCAAGCATGTAACTGCCTTGAAAATATAAAATCCAGAAAAAGAGAAAAATGAGCATGTTTATTAATTTTTTTTTCACTTGTTAACTTGTATTTTAGATTCTCCTTTAGAGTAAAACGGGCTCTTTAACTGTTTACAAGGCAATTTCCGAGTTGTAATAGCTTCATGTTTTTCTACTGTGTCCCCGCATTTAAGGCTGGCTGCCACAAACAGACAGATAGAAAGTGCAGTACCCTTTTTCTTACATCTATACTGGAACCTTAGCAGCAGCAATAATTGTTCCAATCTGTCAGATGCATTAAATTTCATTAGGTATAATGATTATTCTGTTATGGTACTGCTAATTTTTATGTTTAGATAAATAAAAATAAGTTGAATAATTCCACAGGATACATTAATTACTGATTTCAAGGTACTTATGGAAATTTCTACTGTTTTTGGATGTTGCTTTCTCAAGTTCCTCTTTTTCTTTGCTCCATCTCCTAGAGTGAAACAAAGGAAACTCACTTTTAGAAAGACTTCTTCTTTTGAGTTGAGCCTTTTACATTGAGAGCTTTATAGTCTCACTGGAATGGTAAGACTGACATTTAATCTCAAGTATTTCTGAATATATTATTTTATCCACAGAAATATACCCTGGAAAAAAATATGAGACATCTGTTTTTCCCTGACACTGGACAGCAAGAGAGTTAACACACAATGGGGCAAGAAGGATCTCAAAATAAGCGTGAGTACTTCTCTCTTTTTTAATTTTAAAGAGGCAGATAAATTTATGACTAAGATTTAAAAATAAAATTGATAGTTGTAGTTGTGAAGACTAAAAATGATGATATGGGGAGGAGAAGGTGGAAGAAAATGAGAATGACTTTGATGAAGAAAAAGGCTATAAATAGATTCTAATACACTAGGAAATAGAAACTTTTTTGTAAAACATAAATTGGGCCAAGAGAGGAGTTAAAGTATGTAAAGTATAAAAGAAAAATGGGATGGAAGGGAAGAGAGTAATATGGGAAGGTTCTCTTAAAGGGAAGTGACAAAAGAAGTAGAAAACATCCTGACTAAAGCTGTTCCTGATACTTCAACTTCCCATTTTATGTTTTACTAAAGTGACACAAATGGATTTATATTATGAGAACATTAAATAATATTTTGAGAAATATATAGAGCATAGGCAGAAATATGTAATTTTAAAATTAATGTTTCACTTTATCTCATCATCACCCCCTGGCAAACTTCAATGGACCCATAATGAATGATGGTACTGAAAAAAACAAACACGTTTTTCATGCAACAATAGGTCTTGGAGATTTTTTTATGACAATACATACTGATAAACTTGACTATTTTAATTACCATATAGAATTCTATCATATGGATTCATCATAGTTTAAAATATATACTATTGACAATATATACATATATAAGTATTAGGTTTTAGTGTTTTTTCTATTTCCAAAGTATTCCATTTAACTAATTTAGTTATTTCTATAGGACAAATCTTTAAAAATGAGATTTGTAAAGTATATGATTATCTAACCACTATGTTGTATACCTGAAGCTACTACAAAATAATACTGAATGTAAACTATAATTTAAAAATGAAATTAAAAATAAAAATGAAATTGTTGTGGCAAATATAATGCATTTAAAAATTGATAAATGTTGCTTACTATCTGTCTAAATGGCTTTCTAATTTATAGCTCAACAGTAGCACTTATTTTCTTACCTAGGATGTTATAGTTTTAATTTACTTTATTTATTCCAGGCATTCCTTTTGTTTTAACATTGTTACATAGAAGTTTTAATGTTTTTAAAGATATCATAGCTTTATTTTTTTAATTTTAATTTTTTATTTATAATCCTCACCAGAGACCATGCTTAGAGAGAGGAAGTAATAGAGAGAAAGAGCAAGAGAGAAACATTGATGTGAGAGAGAAACATCAACTGGTTGCCTTCTGTGTATACATTAGCCAGGGAATCAAACCTGAAGCATTTCAGTGTACAGGGCAATGTTCCTACCAATTGAGCTACTCCAGCCAGGCAGAAGTTTTAATTTTTATGTACCCAAATTATCAAATTTTTACAATTTTTGAATTTTGTGTCTTCCTTATAAAAAGCCTTTCCTATTAAAAAAGTTTACATGTTATTTATTTTTTTTATAAACTATGAAATTGGTTTATTCAGGGAAAATTTTTAAGCTCTCCTTCACATCTAAAATATTTTTGGATACTCTCATATTTAGCTTGTTCCTTGATAGAATTGGTTTCCCTATCTCTAGAGGCTGAAAAATGGGTAACCTATTTATCTTTCTTTTTGTCCTGGTAGAAGGAGGCCAGCATTTCCAGATAATCTCTTGGGTCATTGCTATTGTTTTCATCTCACTTCTTGGTGCCTGCTGTATTGCAAATTGTTTGGGTAAGTTAGCAAAAGTAGACCTCTCCTTGAAATAGTTCCTTAAACAAATTTTATAAAGTTGAGCCAAACATTTTGTTATCTTGATTTTCCTCAACATATCAAGCTATAATGTCTTCAGGGTCTCTGATTTAAAATTCAGATCTACATACTAGATCTGCTATTCTTTGATGCTGCTGCCTTGTGTCAGGAAATGAAAGATAGAATTTAGACCCTTATCTATACATGTGAAAGTTGGTGACCAGCAAATCAGCCCTCATTTTGGAGTGGGATTACAAAGGGCTGCTTTGTATGAATAAAGAGTAACCAGCAAAAAATCAACAACTTTCAGATGGACTTTAAAAGTCTGGCTTTAAAAAGAATAGTTGGAAGACCTGTACTTTCCGATATCAAGGCCTTGTATAAAGTTATTATAATTAAAGTAATATAAGTGCAAATAAAGGCAAATAGTCCAGAAGAAAGGAATAGAGAGCTTAGTTACAGATTTTGCATATATAAGTTCCTTGTATAAAATAGAAGGGATAATTGCAGGGTTATAGAAAAAGGGTAGCTTTATTATTCAATTAATGGTGTAGAGACAATTGATTATCCATGTTTTAAAAATGAAATTGGTCTTCTGTCTCACATCATGTACCAACAGGCTCATAAAACTATAGAAATATCCCTGTGTTCACCAAAAATCGCCACTCTAACTCCAGGTCTAATAGAAAAATATGCTTAAAAGCACGTGCACATAAAAGTTTGAAAAACTACCCCCATAAAGCACAAAATGGGCAATCTATGTATATAAAAGCTTAATATGCAAATTGTCCCCTTGGGAGTTCGACCAGGAGTTCTATCATTCGCTATGACTTGTGCTGACCACCAGGGGGTGGTGCGGAATGAAGGAAGGCCCCAGCTGGGAGCCAGCAACTGGGGAAGGAAGAGTCTAAACTGGCAGTTGAACAGTCCCGAGGGGTCCTGGATTAAGAGAGGGCACAGGCTGGGCTGAGGGACAGCCCCCCCATGCATGAATTTGTGCATGATAATAAAAATATTAATTTCAACAATATCTTTCAACCAATTCACCTGGAGCTACAACAGAGGAACTGCATAAGGAGAAAGGTTAGAGCAGTTAGCTCCCATTTTCCAAATTAAGTGATTATATAGGAAAAGGAAATGAACTTTTTTTTCTCCTTGGCAGTGACTCATACCAACTTTCTACGCTGTAGGAGAAGCACTGAAGTGTCCAAGTTAGGAGGACACCGCATAAATCTGACATGCATCGAGGAAAAATCAGACCTGAAAGGTATAGGTGGCAGAGACACATGAAAGAATTTCTTTCTCATTTCCACTTCCATTAAAATTCACAATCGGATTTAAAGTAGATCTGTAGGCAACCAGGAGAGATTAAAATAACATAATTGAGAATCTGGCACAAGAGTACACATCAGTAATTGAGATAGAACTATTTCTCATGACAGTCATCAGTCAAATAACTGGAGAAAGTATAATTTAATTCCATATCTTTTGATTCACACATATTATAAAGACTGTTCCCTCTGACTCGTCTTTATTGGTTTTATTATTCTGGAATTTATAAAGTCTCCTTTTGAAGAATGGGACAATGCTTGAGAGTTTTAGTATATTCTTCACACCCGATAGATAAAATGTCCTGTAAAACACTTTGTTATGAAAACACTTTAAAAGTGAATGCAAATAGATGAAGGGATACTGAAGAATGATCATTCTTTCTAAGAAAATATATTATAATATTCTAATTGTCAATACATGATTTCAATACTCTTGTTTAGAAGATATTTTGAAATGTAATTAGAAATATTTTTAAAAAGGGGAAAAGGAATGACTTTGGTAATCTTGGTAACTGGACACTAGATAAATGGTAACTGGACACTAGATAGTAGAATAGTTATGCAATCTGTTATAGATGAATGCTCCTTTGTAACTAACTTTTATTTCAATATCCTCATGAGGGAACACCTGGAATTGCTGTCCTATTGGCTGGAGAGCCTTCCAGTCCAGCTGCTATTTCCCTTTTCATGACAACAAGACATGGGCGGAGAGCGGAAGGAACTGTACCAGGCTAGGGGCCCACCTGGTCACCATCAGCACAGAAGCTGAGCAGGTATGTGGGGAGGCTCCCATCAGTTTCTCTGCTGCTTTGAATCTCTTTGCAACGAGAGAGGACTTTTTCTGTTCTGCCATGTTTCTGTGCCTTTGCTTTATCTGTTCCATGTGCCTGGAAAGCCTTTTCTTCCTCTCTTATATTGTGTGTGTGTGTGTGTGTGTGTGTGTGTGTGTGTGTGTGTGTTTTAAATAAATTTTATTGATTTTTTTTTTTTATAGAGAGGAAGAGAGAAGGATAGAGAGTTAGCAACATCGATGAGAGAGAATCATCGATCAGCTGCCCCTTGCATATCCCCAACTGGGGATGTGCCCGCAACCAAGGTACATGCCCTTGACCTGAATCGAACCCGGGACTTTTCAGTCCGCAGGCTGATGCTCTATCCACTGAGCCAAACCAGTTTCGGATCTCTGGGTGTTTTGTTGTTGTTGTTGTTTGTTTTTAAAATTTATTTTAAAGAAAGAGGAAAGGGGGGGAGAGAGGGAGAGAGAAGAGAGAGAGAGAGAGAGAGAGAGAGAGAGAGAGAGAGAGAGAGAGAGAGAGATATTGACTGACTGCCTCCTGCACAGCTCCCACCAGGTATGAAGCCTGCAACCTGGGCATGTGCCCTGACTGAGAATTGAACCATTGACTTCATGGTGCACGGGTTGATGCTCAACCACTGACCCACACCGTCTGGGTCCTCCATTATTTTCTTAATGTGACCAACTTCAGATCTTTCCAGATGTCATTCATGTATTATTTCCTAGAGAAAACTACCCTGACCATCTTCCCTACTCTACGCTCCCTATTCTAAGTTGGAGGTATTTTATGGTACTTTGTGCACTGTGTGATCATGGCACTTACTTTAGTGTCTTGCAGTTGTCTGCTTAATACTCCATCTCTTCCAATGATTTCCACTTTGTAGAAGGCTGAGGCCATGCCTTACTCATCTTTGTATCGCTAATGTCCTGCACAGTGCTAGGCACTCTGGCTAAGTCTTAATAACTATTTGGTGATTAAGTGACTAAATAAATGGTTAATTGACACTAAAAGAGCTATAAGATAAAGCATAGAAAAAATAATTCAGATGTATAGTTGTAATTTTAAATAAGAAAACCTTAATGTAAAAATGAAAATTTATTTTCTCATGTAATATATTTCCATATATATATATACCACAACTCACATTCTACCCTTTTGTTGATCACAAGGATTCCCTGGAGAATTCTGTCTTCATGGCCTGCCAATCTATAGGCGGACTCTTTGAATAAAATGGGATTTAATAAAATATGCAAACAAAGAGGGAAAATTTAAAAACAAAAGTTCCTGATAATCAGATCCTATTAAACTCTTGCTAAATACTTTGCAAGTAGACCTCAGTTAATTTTCAAAATAACTCAGTGAAGTAGTGGAATTATCTCTTTTAAAGATACGGAAACTAGGGTTTGGTGAGATTAAAGCATTTTCTAACATGACACAGTAAACAGAAGAGGTAGGTTATGAACAGATTCACTTGGTGCCAACCCTTTTTGCTTAAGTAGTAATCTATTCAACCTCTTTCCTCTTTTTCTATCATCTCTCACATGATAAATGCAAATAAATTTATAATTTTTTTATACAGAACTTTATTACTCAATTTTTGGATAGACGATTTTCATATTTCCTGGGACTTTCACATGAGAATCCTGAAGGCCTTTGGCAATGGGTGGACAGGATGCCATTTAACTCGAGTATGGAGTGAGTATACTGACTGGGATGGCAAGCTTAACAGGCAAAGGTGGGAAGAAGGTAGCAAGCAGAATTCATTTTTGGGTGTAGCACACCGATGTAAAAGTGCTTACTCAGCACCATGTGTTACATAACCTCTATACTAGTAAACTACTACTACACTTGTGTTGGGCAGTGCAGCTCTAAATTTCTCACTTAAGGGCATTTTGGGTCATTTTCTTTGCATAGTCCCCTAACACACACAGTGTGTGTGTGTGTGTGTGTGTGTGTGTGTGGTGTATGTGTGTGTGTGTGTATTACATATATATATATATTTTTTTCATTTCAGATTCTGGCATAAGGGTGAACCCAATAACCATCAGAAAGAAAATTGTGTTGTCCTTGTTAATGACCAAAACAAATGGGCCTGGAATGGTTTTTCTTGTACTCTGAGGCAAGCAGGATTTGTAAGAAACCTGGAAGAATACTTGCCTGAAAGCTATGAAGAAGTTCTTGTGATGTGGACAGGGAAGAAGAACCCATTAGACCAGGGAAGAATGTACATGCACCAGTGGAATAGAGAAAACATACTAGATCATAGAACATTTTCAATCATGATGGGACTTATTTATTCAATTCATTCAAGATAATGTGTTTTTGTGTAGTGCTTTATTGGAATTTGTGCAGGAGGGGGATGTCCCCTAGCTCGGCCTGCACCCTCTCCAGTCTGGGACCCCTTGGAGGATGTCTGACTGCAGGTTTAGGCTTGATCCCTGCTTAAACTGGTAGTCAGACTCCCCTTTAGAAATCCAGGACCACTGGCTCCTAACCACTCACCTGCCTGCTTGCCTAATGCCCCCAACTGCCCTTCCTGCCAGCTTGATCACCCACAACTGCCCTCCTCTGCTGAGCCTTGTATCTGTTGTGCACACAGCCATCTTGTGATGACATTAGGGCATGAGGGTGTGACAACCACCTAGGCAACAGCATGGATGAACCTAGAGAACATTAATTATACTACCGCGTTTCCCCAAAAATAAGACATCCTCTGAAAATAAGACCCACTTACAGGTTTCCTTCTGAGTGAAATATAAGGCATCCCCCCGAAAATAAGGCCCCTCTAGGCTAAACATGAGAGATTTGGTCCACTGATTCTGAAAGAAGTGGAGTCACAAGAAATTCACCAGGAAATTCAGGAATTGGATTGTTATGATGATGTTCCAGAAGATAATGACATGATTGTCATTGAATAAATGAGTAAATTCTTGATACTGTAGGATTCACAGTTTGTCTGATTTGTGTTGACAACTACCGTACTGCCGTACTGTATACAGGTAATAAATTTCCTTTATTTTCATTTAACAATAAATGTGTACAGTATTCTTCTTCATGGAAAAATAAGACATCCCCTGAAAATAAGACCTAGCGCATCTTTCGGAGCAAAAATTAATATAAGACACTGTCTTATTTTCGGGGAAACAGGGTAAGTGAAATAAGCAGTCAGAGAAAGATAAGAATCACATAATTTCACTCATATGTGGAGTCTAATGAACAACATAAACTAATGAACAAAAATAGACCCAGAGACAGAGAAACATGGAACAAACTGTCAAGCCTCAGAGGGAAGGCAGGTGAGGGTGGAGGGAGGGAGAGATCAACCAATGAACTCATATGCGTATAAGCATAATCCATAGACACAGATGATAGGTTGGTAAAGGCTTGATGGGGAGTGGGGTGGAAGAGGGAAATGGAGGGGAAAGGGATATATGTAATACTTTCAACAATAAAGATTTATTTAAAAATAAAAAATAATGGTTGTGGAACATACTGAGAGTAATCCTAGCACAGGGTTCCAAGAGGATTATTTTCCCCATGAAAATATATTTCTGACAGAAGTTTTTGCAAACCAGACTGTCTAAAGGAAATATAAAGCAAGTCAAAAATGTGAGTTACCTATGCTTAAATTTTTCAATAACCATGTCAAAAAAGTATTCAAATAATTTATTTATTTAAACCTTTATACATAAAATATTATCATTTTAGCATGTAATAAATATTAAATTATTAGTAATGCATTTTACATTTCTTTCCAATTTAGTCATCTAAAATCTGGTGTATATTTTACACTTTCCAGCATATCTCAACTAGGACTAGTGCTCAATTCAGTGACTACAGTCCTGGATAGCTAAGTATATAGATGATATAATTAGTGACATAGAAAATATAAGGGGATCTATAGCTAAAGAGTTAAAAAAAAATAATAGCGGAGTTTAGCAAAGTTTCAGAATAAATAATCAATATATAAAGATCAACAATGTTACTATATAGTACCTGCAAAATATAGAAAATGTATTTTATGTAAAACATTACACTTACAACAGCAATCCTATATAATAAAAAAGTAATATGCAAATTGACTGTACCTCTGCTACACCCACAAGCCACACCCACCAACTAATCAGGAGTGAATATGCAAATAAACCCAATCAAGATGGCTTCAGCCACAGAGAGAGCAAAAGGGAGGCTTGGGTTTCCCCAGCAATGGAGGAAACTAAGCTTTCTGCCTGCCCTGGCCAGCCCAGGCCTCCATTCAACACTATAAAGTTTCAATGATAGAAGATAAAATAAATAAAAAATGATGCCACCACAGAACTGGATTGAACAGGAAGCTTGAGTTGCCCTGGAGATGAGGAAGCCAAGCTTCTGCAGCCCTGGCCTGCCTTGGCCTCTGCTTAAGGTTACAAAGTTTCAGTTATAGAAGATAAATAAATCCCAACAAAATGGTGGCAGCCACGGAGCTGCAGAGAGCAGGTGGCTTAGAAGAAGCCAAGCTTTCCACCTGCTCTGGCTGGCTGGCCCAGGCATCCACTCCAGGCTCCAAAATTTCAATTATAGAAGATAAATAAATCCCAATAAAAATGGCTTCAGCTACAAGTGAGCAGGAGTCGTGGCTCTAATCAAGGCTACAAAATTTCAATTATAGAAGATAAATAAATCCCAGATACCAGGCCGTGGGTTGGGTCACCAGGGGGCATGGCCAGCCTGCAAATATATACCACAGACTCCTCACCCAGGCCACCCCATACCTCAAAGGGACCCCACCCTGATCTGGGACTCCCTTCAGGGCAAACCAGCTGGCCCCCACCCATACACCAGGCCTCAATCCTATCTAATCCTATCTAATAAAAGAATAATATGCAAATTGAGTGTCATTCAAGATGGCTGCCCCCATGTGGTCAGAGATGACTGCCCCCATGTGGACACAAGATTGCCACCACAAGATGGCCAGCAGGAGAGGGCAGTTGGGAGGGACCAGGCCTGCAGGGGAGGGCAGTTAGGGGTGACCCAGGCCTGAATGGGATTGCAGTTAGGGGCAAACAGGCTAGTAGGGGAGTGGTTAGGAATCAATCAGGCTGGCAGGTGAGTGGTTAGGGGGTGATCAGGCTGGCAGGCAAAAGCAGTTAGGGGCAATCAGAAAGGCAGGCAGGCGAGCAGTTAGGAGCCAGCAGTCCTGGTTTGTGAGAGGGATGTGCCAGATTGGAGAGAATGCAAGCTGGGCTAAGGGACACCCCGCCCCCCTACTCCCCATATACAAATTTCGTGATGGGGGCTCTAGTATAACTATGAAATACCCAGGAATAAATGATCAAGTGTGCAAGTTTTATGGACAAAACATAATTTTAAGACCTATAAACCAACCTGCTAAAGCTTGACTGTGTGACGTTCCTCACCCCTTAGTGTACTCTGTAACTCCTCCAGTTGATCCTCCTACTTGGGCTCAGACACCCATGATGCTCAAATTATTATAGCTCAGGCTTCCACATTTTGGGTCAACCAATCACTTTACCAGATGGCCTCTGGAATCCAATAAGTCCCCCACACCCTTATTACCCTTCCTGCCCCCACCCTTCCCCTTACACTGATGCACCCGGTCAGGTTCTAAATTCCTGTGGGGGTAATTATGCACCCCTCCCCTCAAACTCACCCCTATACATACATGCATGCATATGTATAAGCTACCTTGCTCTGTACCACCTGATGAATGACTTTAGTATTGCATCATTAAAAAGAAAAAATGGGATTGGGAAAAAGAGAAAATAGAAGAGCAAGAAGAATATTTTATATGATTCTTCATAATTTTTATTTACTTCAGAGGTATCTTCAGGAAATAATTTTTTTGTGCTAGCTTATAAAGCCAAAACATTCTTGAAGTTTCAGAATTCTTTATTTTCACTTCAATTTGTTATTTGTTAATTTTAAATAAAGTTGAATTGAATATTTTAAAAGTATCATCTGCTATATGATTGTTTTCTGAGTGTGTGTGTATGTGTATGTGTGTGAGTGTATTATGTTTTTTCCTATACACTCTTCCTTTTTACTTAAAGGAAACACTTTACAGCTTCTATTGGCATATTTGAACTGCCAGCATCACTTACTCTTGCCCTTTGAGGCCATTATTAAGTAAAATAAAGGTTACTTGAATACAGGTACTTCAATACGACAGCAGTTGATTTGGTAAGGAGACAGTGACTAATGGGCAGGAAGTATATGCAGTGTGGAGACATGACTCTGGACAAAGGGGTGATTCAGGTCCTGAGCAGAGTGGGATGGTGTAAGATTTTTATTATGCTACTCAGAACAGTGAGCAATTTAAAACTTATGAATTGTTTCCTAACATCCTCACCAGCACTGGCTATTTTCTCCTCCCTACCCCCCGTCACCATTTATACCTTATACCCTTATACCTCTTCCACCTCCTTGGAATTTAGCTCCTGGATATATCCTTTTAAAAGTATGACAGTATAAAGATAGGTAAGAAAGTAGAGACTTTAATTGCCTCCATGAAGGGAACTGGGTGGCTGGAGACTGTGGAGGAAAAATGGAGAGAATAGGAAAGAGGGGAGACTTTTTACTTTATATCTTCTTTTACATTTGGATTTTGAATCATGTGAATGGGTTACTCATGTTTTAAAAGTAAGACTTAAAAACGGGACTTCAAAAACAAACAAACAAACAAATAAATAGTATGAATTGTTTATTTTTAGAATTTTCCATTTAATATTTTTGAACCAGTTGACTGTAGGTAATTGAAAACATGCAAAGCAAAACCATAAATAAGGGAAGATATAGATATAGATGCAGATATATATATAGACATAGACATAGTCATAGACATAGACATAGACATAGACATAGACATAGACATAGACAGATATATAGTGTTCCAAATAAATATTTTTAATCCTTACCCAAGGATATGTGATTTTTTTGCTTTTATTTATTTTTTTCAAAATATGTTTTTATTGATTTGAGAGAGAGAGAGAGAGAGAAAGAGAGAGAGAGAGAGAGAGAGAGAGAGAGAGAGAGAGAGAGAGAAACATTGATGATAGATATATCAATCGGCTGCCTCCTGCACCCTCCACTGGGGACTGAGCTCACAATTCAGGCATGTGCCCTGACCAGGAATCGAACTGGAACCCTCCCATGCGTGGAACAACACTGCAACCAACTGAGTCACAGCGGCCAGAGCTTTATCCCTGTATCCTCCTATAATTTCTCACAAATGAAGCAAATGTACCAAACGGGACATGCCTTTCTTTTTACAGTATTTGCTAGGTAATTGCTTGGTAAATTCTGAGAAGGCCTGAGAGACTAATACAGAGAAAAATGCACTTCCGTCAGTATCATGAATTATAACATCCAAAAACATTTATTTGTATTTACATCAAAGCAACAAACACGTACAAAGCCCTTCTGAAGTACAAGGCGCACGTTTCTCATGTTGGAGTTGCAGCTGTGTCCATGTTCCTGGTCCTCCTCACCTATACATTTAAGTGGGGCCTTCTGTCCTTGAAGAATTTTCTTTGCTCAAAATGTTTTTTGCTGGCATTTCACAAATCCGAAACATATATAAGAAACAGGCCATATCATTCCAATTCTGCCTGGGGTTTTTAGAGTCCCTTATGGTGGCGCAGTCCTCCACCGTAACTAAGTTGTTGGGCTCCCCTTCGTCCCAGAAGCTGAAAAACATACACACACAAAACACAGGAAATGCCATGGGAGAGTTTAAATCCCAGGAACAGGAGATAAAGTGACCTACTTTGTGTTATGTAACTTCGCAACAATTTTGTGAGGTAGGTATTTATAATCTCTGTTTTTACTGACAAAGAAAAGGATCTCAGAAAAGCTGACCCATTTGTCTAAGTCATAGAGTTTGTCAGTAGGGAAGTTGACTGGATCTTTCTGCTTTCTTTCCATTTTGTGATGCTCTCTCATAGACTAGACCTCGAATGAGAGGTTATGGGAATAACGGATGTCTTGGTGGATTTGTTTTCTTTGCACTCATATGTCGTCCCCTGTTTGGTTCCCTTTAGTCTACCCAAAATTTGTATTAATTCAGGTGCATATTTCAATGGTGTTACAGTGTAGTAGTGGAGCAACTTTAAAAAGTATCGGGACATGTGGGCTATACTCTCAGAACTGATTGAAGCCCCTCCAATCTTAGTTCCCTCCAATGCTAAGTGAAAGGCATAATATTGATGTAGCTCAGAAAGATACAACTTAGGTTAAATGAGATAAAGATGAAAACTTTGAAAACTCCAAATGCTGTGCTCTAATTCTGTAAAGCCATTGTTAAGGAGAAAAGAGATGTTCATTCCATAAAAATCTTCTGTCTTTTGCAAATCACTATTTTTTGTCTCATTTATTACAATTTAGGAGTATAAGACTACGAATTCCCCACTTTGTCTATGATGCATTTTCAAAGTGTTAGTATCTAATTCTTCTTTTTTTTCATTCTTATTATTTTTTTATTATTGATTTAGAGAGAAAGGGAAAGGGAGAGAGAGGACCATCAGATGAGCTTCCTCCTACACACCCCCTACAGAGGACTGAGCCCACAACTGGGCATATGCCCTGACTAGGAATTGAACTGGTGACCCTTTGGTGCACAAGGTGACACTCAATCAACTGAGCCACACAAGTCAGGGCTACTCACCTTTTCATCTTTATCTATTCACCTTTATTCTTGAGATAGTCTTAGGAAATTAGAGCAATAGGATGGCCCTGAGTATACATCATGGAACAGAAGGAGGTTCTAAGAATTCCCATAAAAAATGGGCTAACTAGGATTTAGGGTCGTGTTAAATTCTCCTACAAGAAATAAGTTAATTACCTCAGAGACTCGTTGAAAGGTGTGCCATCTATCCATTTCCACTGACCGTCAATCACCTGGTCCGTTAGTCCAATATAAAACTCTCTATTTGTAGGTTTTGCATGGAAAAGGAATTTCTATGGAAGATACACAGTAAAAAAAGGAAGAAGAAAAAAAAAGAGAGCGATTATTTCAATTCTAAACAAATGTTGAAGGTGATTGTTATTTAAAGAGATAAAGTAGGACCAAAGATGATAGACACATGACCCTGAAACACAGGTGTTGCCCCAAAATGTACACACACTCTAACAGCAAATTTCTATTACATTTTGAACATGAAATTTATTTTCATAAACACTACCTTCATAATTATTCAAAGTGTGTATACATCTTTTGGGAACAATCTATTTTAAGATCATAGAGGATTATCTTCTGAGTTTTTTAAAATTGTTGTAAAAATATATACAACATAAAATTAAACCAACAAAAAAGAATCTTCAACAAAGGAATTTCTCAATAATTCAAAGTTTATCTACTGTAACTTGTAGCCAAATCTACCATAGAGATTAACACAAAGCATTATTAATCACAACTTAATGGTAATGGATACTATTTGCTTTGTCTCATTCAAATAGATTTATAAACATAATGGTCATTCTAAAATGGACCCACTCCTTTTTTTTTTTCTTTTTCTTTTTCTGCCTTGCTAAGGAACTAAACATGGACATTTCTTTTTTACCCTTAGGCTTTTCTAGAAATGAAAATAAATTAGAGTAGGCATTGACTTACAGAAATAGTAAGAAAAACATGCATTTTAGTATGTTCATTTAAAAAGGTTAATTGTGGTCCACACACCATACACATGTATGGAAAAGGGGATGATCATGTGGGGAATGCTACACTGACACTCGGGGAGTCTGTACTTGAACTACCTGTTCCTCCTCTGAGTTGATAACCACCAGCTGAGCTCCCAGGCTTGAGCAGTTTTCCACACTTTCTTGCCAAGTTAGGGTGTTAGTAGAAAAAAAGTAGCAGCTAGATTGAAAATGTATCCAGCTCAATGGACAGCAATTCTTGACTGGACCTAGGAGGAGAGAAGTTTCCATGAATGTCCTACATGAACTAATTTAAAAAACAGAAAGTTTCATCTGGCCCTATGAAATCTATCATTTATAATTAGAAGCATTGGAACCTCTTGATCATAATCCTCCACCCCCTTCTTACTACCTAAGACTTTAATAATTCCTTTGAAAGTAAACATAAACAACAATAAATATCTGTGTCTTTTGAGACATAATCCGTACTTTCTAGATATACCATATATAATATCTATTTTAGTTATGCTGTTGATATAGGACCCTCTTAGCTGTTCTCTGACTTGCCACGATCAGAGAAAGTTGTGATGCATTTTATCGGACTGACCTTGAAGCAACCATCTCTCATGTTGCCCAAATAATGTACACTCAACAAAATCTCCAAACTGGTTCTTACAATTATAGGATTGAAGCCTTCAGAGTTTATTAAAAAACGAATAATCCAGAATCTCTTAATTTAATAGTGAGGAAATTATAACCCAAAGAAAGAAGTAATTTTCTAGGGTCCACAAGAAAATGCTAGAATGTCAAGAAGTAATTTTCTAGGGTCCCCAAGAAAATGCTAGAATGTCTCCAAGATTTCCTGTCTTCTTAACTAATTCCTCATCTTTATGTACAGTACAGGCAAGATTTCTCATTTTGCTTTTGAATAACAGGACCTACTCAAACTACTTTATTTATCCCCAAATCAATCTAGAAGCCAAAAAATATTGATATGTAAATCTTTATGTTTAAATTTGAGGAACATTATACCTGGTTCATTATTGTAGCAGTTGAATTCCAGGAAGTCCTCATATGGCTGGACCTTTTTCTCATCACAGAGTTGAAAGATGCGATATGTCACTGTAAGGACAAGGCATAGTTAATATTTACTTTATTACTCTTTTGATAAAATAAATGTTATTATTTTTGTATTTATAACAGAATTGCCAAAAATTGCCATGTTTTTTGGTTTGTTTGTTTTTTTACTATCTACTTTTCCTTCTGCATGTAGAGGCACTGAGATTTACTTTAAAAAGATGGAATTTATGTTTTATGGCCTTCCTAATTCATAAAAATAAATTGTACTTTAGTTCCAGCCCATAGGCCAAGAGGAGACAAATGTGTTTTCTCTATTATACCAAGTCTAACCCTTCCTTCCAAAAAGTGATTAGTCATGTCTCAGACTAGTCTCATAGAAGGGGTTCTACTAATTAATGGCAGAGGTACAAAAGGAAGCACCCAAGGCTACCAAGGAGATGAAAAATGTCGATCATTAAAAATGCATCAGAGGTCACTGAAATTTGTAACAATTCTATACTAGTTGGTGTTTCTGGTTGAGGAATGGCCTGGAAATAGAGGGAAAAGTTAGTATATGAATACTCTTAATGGAAAAAGAGAATCCATAGGCAGCAAGGAAGGATTTATTCTCAATATTCCCAAGGAAGATTGAATTTGACCTTCAGAACTCACCAACACATCTAGTGATAAAACAGGCACCGAGTAGTAGGATGGAGATCCCAGCAGCAGTCCATAAGAAGACTTGGGAAGAGAAGCATCCTCTCTCTGTAGAAAGACACAAATATGGTCAATCTTCCATAATAAATTCTTATTCGACTGTACATATTTCCTTCCACTTGCATTGCCTATATGGAGCACTTCTCAAACTTCAGTATATGTAAAAATTATTTGGAAGGTTTGTTAAAACACATATTACAGGGGTACAACACAGATTAACCTCCAGAGTTAAGAATTCAGTTAGAGCTGGTATGGTGCCATCAGGTTCCCAGGAGCTGCTATTGCTGCTGGTTTGGGGACCACACTTTTAGATCCATTACTAATTTCAAGACGGATTCATGAAGTTGGACAGATGTGCAATTTTTCCTTTCCTACACCACTCGCATCCCCTTCATTCCCTATATTTTTTTACTTTCTCCCTCTCATCCTCTCACCCTCTCTGTTTTTCTTGTCTCTCTCCCACTCTCCTCTTTCTAGTGCCTCAATTTCCAAACCCATTTGTAAAGCAATCATATAAAACATTGAATTCATCTAGTAGTTCCTCTCCCTTTCCTTCCCAAAACAACATATTACAGACAAGGAAAGTGAGTTCCAGAGTAGTGAAGTACTTTACCCAATGGGACACAGTGAATACAGAGAGGAGAGAAACAGCAGGCTGGTAGCTCTCCCTGAACTCAAGTCCAGTGGCCTTCTCAGTATAACATGTACTCTTCTAACAATTTTTTAATGTTTCCTCTGTTTCATTCACTTTCTCTCTCTCTCTCTCTCTCTCTCTCTCTCTCTCTCTCTCTCTCTCTCTCTCTCTCTTTTACTTTACTGTGGGCTTTTCTACAATCCTGTCCTTCTATGTATTTATCACTTCTTCCAAAAAAGAAATATCTTTGAAAGAAGAAGGAGAATTGCAAATTTTACCTGTTCTCTGTGATGCAGATGATTTGGATGAATTCATTTTTTTCTTTCACTTTTTCTCTCTCCCTCTTCCTCTCTCTGTCCTCGGTTTCTAAGTTCAAGAGTATTTTGTTGGTAAGTTTCAAGGGAACAGAATCTTGAAGAATGAACACTTTATTTGTACTTTAGGAAGTTCAACCTCAAGACATAAGAATATTAATTTGTTTGGTGGCTGTGTGTTCAGGTCAGGATTTCTTTTCTTGCATAAGAAGGACAAGGCAGTTTATTGGGCAAGTCAGTCTCCTTACTCCAACAACAAAATGCGGAAGTGATGAAATGGCAAGTGTCAACAGATGTAGGCTGACCTTGGGGAAATCTGAGTGGCTTCAAAAAATATTGCTTGAGATATTTTTGTTGGATAAAATTTCTCTGCCTTCTTCTGTTGTGCCCAGATTTCGTGATCCCCAAAGACCACCAGGGAGCCGAGTCCGATGCAATAGCAGAAAACCTGTATTTCGGACTAGTCCGAGCCCTGTCCCACTCACTCCGAAAACGGTGCCACGGGAGAGAGGATGAATTTCAACGTATCAATGGGTTTTATAGGAGTGGTGATGTCACTGCTTTGGCTGACCCTGATTGGTTGGGTTAGGGCTAGGGTCCAGTTACACAAAATGGAGGATAGCTCCGCCCCGCCTCACAGTACAAAATGAAGTCAGGAGTTGCCTCACAGTACAAAATGGAGTCAGGAGTTAGCCTCGCCCCGCCCCACCCTGCCTTCTCACTTCCAAGCCTTACTCATCCCTCAATGTTTCCTTGACACTTGTGGAGCCCACCTTTGCATTCCCAGTCTCACTTTTGGTCTTTACTACCACACAGTTGTTAACTGAAAAGGAGAGAGATTTCAACTCTTTATAGCACTTAGCAAAAAGCTGGGCACACAGTGTAAGTATTTATAATGTAGCAATGTGAGGGTTTTTTTTTTTTTTTTTTAAATCTCTTATGCTTTTTCTTTATTCTTCATTTGAAGCTCTTGAAGAGCTCCCTCAAGGGATTAATTTCCAAAATATAAAGAGAACTCATACAACTCAACCCCCAGCAAACAATCCAATTAAAAATTGGGCAGAGGACCTAAAACCACTTTCTTTCAGGTATTAAATGTACTAGTAAGCGATGTCTATTATCAATCCTCATCCCTGGAAAAGGGAAGAAGAAAACATCTGAATGAGTGAAAGATGATTTTCTGGGAGTATCATTTCTTTTGGATATCAATCAGATATGAAAGTTTGAAGCTTGTTTCACATTGATGTTATTAAATAAGAGAATTAGAACCTATTTTATCAAATAATATCAGCTATTTACCTTGATTACAGTAACCTTATCTGGTTTCATCTTTAAATGTCATATTGTTTTCCTTTCAATTAAAAAAATTAAATCAAGGAAAAAAAAAATTGGGCAGAGGACCTAAAGAGACACTTCTCCCAATAAGACATACAAATGGTCAACATATAAATGTGAAAAGATGCTCAGCTTCACTAGCTTTTAGAGAAATGCAAATGAAAACTACAATGAGATGCCACCTCACATCTATTTGAATGGCTATTATCAATAAGACAAATAATAACAAGTGTTGGAGAGATTGTGAAGAAAAAGAAACCCTCATTCACTGCTGGTAGGATTATAAATTGGGACAGCCACTATGGAAAACAGTATGGAGGTTCCACAAAAATTAAGAATAGAACTACTGTGTTTCCCCGAAAATAAGACATCCCCTGAAAATAAGACCTAGCACAACTTTGGGAGAAAAAATTAATATAAAACACTCTTATTTTTGGGGAAACAGGGTTTCATATGACCCAGCAACCCCTTTTCTGGGTACCTACTAAAATTTTTTGAAAACATTTATACACAAAGGTATATGTACCCCTATGCTTATTGCAGCCTTATTCACAATGGCCAAGATAAGAAAACAACCAAAGTATCACTCAATAGATGATTAGGAAAAGAAGATGTGGTACATATAACAGCCATAAGAAAAGATAAAATAGCCTGGCTGGTGTAGCTCAGTGGTTGAGCATTGTCCCAGGAACCAAGAGGCTACCGGTTCGATTCTCGGTCAGGGTTCAGTCCCTTAAGGGGATGCAGGAGGGCCAATCAGTGATGTTTCTCTCTCATCAGTGTTTCTATTTTTCTATCCCTCTCCCTTCCTCTCTCTAAAAAATGAATAAAAACATTAAAAAAAAATATTCCATTTACTACAACCTGGATTGATCTTGAGAATATCATGTGAAGTGAAATAAGTTAAACAAAAAAGTAAAAAAACCATATGTTTTCACTCAACTGTAGAAAATAAAACTGAAAGCAACAAATGAACAAACAAGAAAAGCAAATAAAGGAAAACTCATAGACACAGACAACAGCAAACAAAGGATAAATGGCAAAGGAAATCAAATATATGGTGATGGAAGATGATTTGACTGTGTGTAAATACACAATTTAATATGCAGATAATGTGTCAAAGAATTGTACTCTCAAAACCTATATAATTTTATTAACCAATGTCACCATAATAAATTTAATTAAAAATAAATACAACAAAAAACCTAGATTTATAGACTTGTATTCCTTTTATTAAAATGTTGAGTACTAGGTTATTTTACAGCTCCACCTCAGTTAAACAGCCTCATGTATTTTTTTTATTTTTAAAAATTAAGGTATTACATATGTATCCATATCCTTCCATTGCCCCCCACCCCACTTCTATACATGCCCTTGTCTTGCGTCCATTGATTATGCTTATATGCATGCATACAAGTCCTTTGGTTGATCTCTTATCTCCCCACACTCCCCAGCCTTCCCGCTGTAATTTGACAGTCTGTTCAATGCATCTCTGCCTATGTATCTATCTTTTTGTTCATCAGGTTATAATGTTCTTCATTATCCATAAGTGAGTGAGATCATGTGGTATTTTTATTTCACTGACTGGCTTATTTCACTTAGCATAATGCTCTCCAATTCCATCTATGCTGCTGCAAATGGCAAAAATTCCTTCCTTTTTAAAGCAGCATAATATTCCATTGTGTAGATGTACCACAGTTTTCCAATTCATTCATCTGCTGATGGGCACTTAGGCTGTTTCCAAATCTTAGCTATTATGGATTGTGCTGCTCTGAACATAGAGATGCATTTATCTATTCTGATTGGTGTTTCTAGTTTCTTGGGATATATTCCTAGAAGTGGAATCATGGGTCAAATGGAAGTTCCATTTTTAGTTTTTTGAGGAAACTCCATACTGTTCTCCACAGTGGTTGCACCAGTCTGCATTCCCACCAGTAGGGCACAAGGTTCCGTTTTTCTCCACATCTTCTCTAGCACTTGTCATTTGTTTATTTGTTGATGATAGCCACTTTGACAGGTGTGAGATAGTACTGCATTGTCATTTTGATTTGCATCTCTTGGATGATTAGTGACTTTGAGCATGTTTTCATATGGCTCTTGACCTTTCTTATGTCCTTTTTGAAAAGTATTTATTTAGGCCCTAACCAGCTTGGCTTAGTGGATAGTGTTGGCCTGTGGACTCAAAGATCCCAGGTTTGATTCCGGTCAAGGGCATGTACCTTGGTTGTAGGCACATACCCAGTAGGGGATGTACAGGAGGCAGCTGATTGATGTTTCTCTTTCATCGATGTTTTTGTTTCTCTATCCGTCTCCTTTCCTCTCTGTTTAAAAAAAAATTAATAAATTATATATTAAACAAAAGAAAAGAAAAGTATCTATTTAGGTCCATTGTCCTTTTTTTTTTAAATTGGGTTATCTTCTTTTGTTAAGTTGTATAAGTTCTCTG